TCACCGTGGAGGAGTTGAGGCTGGACATGGAGGAGCTGCTGCTGAGCATGCGGTCGAGTGAAGGGTCGAGCCCCGGGGCCTCCTCCCCATTCTCCAGGATCTCGGACGTCGCCTGTGTCTGGGGAGACGGGGAGTGACGGCGGCGCCCTTCCCCCCGCCTCCCGCGACCGCTCTCAGTCTCTGACGGCTCGGCCCCTTGGGTAGCGGCACTCCCCGCCCGAAATCCGGTCCGGGTCTTGAGAGCAGCTGCGGGCCGCTCCCGCCTACCTGGGCTGGCGGGGGCTGCGGCTCCACCTCTCCTAGCGACAGCCGCTCCGGCTCCGGGTCCGCCTCCTCCGCGGCGTTGACAAGAGCGCCCCTTGAGCCAGGGGCTGGGTGGGGCATAAGCTGCTCAGCGAGCCCCTTACCCTGTCCGCCCCTGAGCAAATTTTCAGGGACTGGTTTATACCCCCACTCAGGCCCCAGTGCAGCTCTGGGGTTGCCCATGGAAACCACACCTACCCATCCCCAATGCGGGGCGGGGGAGGGGGAGGAGGAAAGTGAACACAGGTGGTTGGGGTCATTAAGAGCCACCTCTGATCACTGAAAACTCTTTATGCCAACACATACCTTCCCGCTCACCTTCCTGGGCCTGGGGCTCCTCTTCATCTTCTGAAGCCTTTAGGGGGACATATGGTGAGGGGAAATTAGGTCCCTAAAAGAAACAGAGGGTAGAAGTCACAGTGGGGGCTAGTGGTAAAGGGTTCAAAGGTTATGGAGTCAGAGGTCAGAGGCTCCCGCTGGCTACTCCAGTTTCAGATTTTGCACAGCCCTCAGGGCAGGACTGGCAACCAGCTGCAGAACCAGTCTGGCCTGTACTTCACACCCCTTCACGCTTCAGGGCCTGCCCTGCCTGACTCCCAAGGTCCCACTGGTGGAGGACAGTAGCATCTGAGTCTTGGACCTCTGCCAGCTCAGTCCCCACTCTGCCCCTAATAGCTGGATTCAGAGTTTCCCTTTAAGGCTGGGCCCACACCCCCATTTGACAGGAGAATGATAGAGGCCCAGGCCAGGGTGTCCTGCTTCTCAGGCTGAGCTCTTTCCCCAGCATATCCCACCTTCACTCCAGAGACACTGTAGGTTCACTTATTAGCCTATTCGGTCACTTATTACTCACCTCAGCCTCACTGAGCTTCTCTTGGGTGGCCTCATCTCTGGGGAGACTGGGAGAAGGGAGAGGTGGTTGTCAGGGATGGGCCCCAGATGACTGGTAGGCACCCTCCACTCCCTGCCACACCTCCTCACCTGGGCTCCAGTGCCTCTTCAGCCTCTTTCTCAGCAGCCTCAGCCTCGCCATTGCTGCCCTGAGCCTGGCCTCCTGCACCAGGTGAGAAGTTCTGTGAACCCCTGTTCTCAGGATGCCTGGCCCTTGGAGAGGCCCACTCACCTCCCATATCCCATGGAGGGGTGATGCCCACCCAAGAGTCACACAGTACCAGGGGCAGCTGGAACTGAAACTAGAGTCCCTCTCTCCCTGTCCACATACATTTAGTGCCCTGGGCTGTGCAAGGCCTGCCCCACTCTGGGGATCTCCTCTCACCCCTGGAGCCTTTCTTCCTGCGGATGGAGGCTCGGACAAGGTCAGAACCGAAGTGGACATGGTGGTGCCGCTGGAAGCGTGCTTCCTGGAACCAGTCCCCTGTTAGGATCTTCAGCTGCCCAGGGTCTGCCAGCGAGGCCCGGAGCTTGCTAGAGGATGGGGAGGGTGTGGCTGTCACCATTCATGCAATCAACATTCTTGCCACCCACTCTGTGCCAGGCCCTGTACCTGGGGCCTGTATATAACAGCAAATCAAGCTTGATCTCTGTTTTGGAGGAGCTCAATTTGGTGGGGAGATTGAGTCCAGAATAAATAGGTACAATATAGTGAGGTAGGAGCCATGTGAGAGGGCCAGCTTTGCCTGTAGGAATCCAGGAGGACTTCCCAGAAGAAGTACCATTTGAATTGCTTCTTAAAGACAAATTGGTAAAGAAAATGAGTTATAATTCATTAAATGATTGTGTATAATCCTTCTTAATTCTGTGAGGTAGGGCTTCTTAGCCCCATTTTACAGATGAGGAGAGTGGTGCTGGAGTGGTCCAAGATTACAAGGTAAGAGGTATCTTTCTGTCCCCAAACACTACTCCTAAGTCCCATGCTCCTCTGCCACTGTGCTCTTCCAGGCAGGAAGAACAGTATAGAAGTGAAGGGTGTGTTCAGGGACTGTGGAGTGCCTGGATGGCTGTAGTGAACACTTTGTGTATGGGTGTTGGCGGGTGGAGGTAACTGGTGGAAGATGAGATCAGAGAGGCTGGCAGGCACCAACCAAGGAGGCCTTGTGGACCATGCTTAGGAGCCTGCCCCTGACAGGGGATGCTGAGGAGCCATAAGAGGTCTCAGGAGGAGATATTAAGGACCAGCCTGGAGAGCTCCAGCTGCAGCATGACGGGTGGGCTGGAAAGGGTGGGCCTGGAGGCAGGGAGGCTGGCAAGGGAGCTGGTGCAGCCACCCTGGGAGAGGTGATGAGCTGAGTTGGCCAAGGGTAGAGGGGACCAATGGGCAAATATAAGACCTACCCAAGTATCTGACAGGCTGCATGGTGGAAGGGGACATGGTGGGGGGCCACCCAAGTCCCCCAGGGCCTGAGGCCCCTTCCTCCTGGGCTCCCCTGCTCTGCCTCACCTGACTCGTCCCTCCTCCAGCTGGCGCAGGTGGGCATCTCGCTTCAGGACCTCGGCAATGGCCTCCTGTTCCTCCTGTGTCAGGAAGCTGAGGTCCAATAGCCCGTCGGCCTCAGGATCTGACTCATGCTCCATGAAAGGGCCAGCCAGGGCCCAGAGGCCCTCTTGAGGTGGGTGGCCCCTCTGGGGCATCAGCTGGGGCAGTGCCCCGGCTGGGCACGTGTGGCTCCCTGGGGGCAGACCAAGGGTCAGGTTAAGCCCTGCGTATGTACAGGGCACAGCCTGGGGCCGACTGCCCTTTTCTGCCTAAATATATGGCCAGGTGGTGGGCAGGGTACAAGCCCAGGAAGACTGAGATCAAGGTGGCATGAGATGCACTTGTGGACACACATACAGTGGCCCATGGACATAGTCAGGGCCACCCGCAAAGACGTGTACTGAGACATATATGCACGCACACTGACACATGTAGATAGTTACCCACAGTGAGATGCATACCGGGTCACACATGCACACTGACACCTGTACAAAGAGGCACATGGACGCACATTCCCCTGTACAGGCCCCTATGCAGTCGTAGGCCCAGACCCATATCCAGACCAAGAGATGGACTTAACATATTCTTAAACCTGCACACAGGCGCGTGTACACAAGGGAGACAAGGACCCACAGGTGGGTTCACCGGTACAAGAATAAGCCTGGGGACAAAGGCACGTCCCTAAGCATATACAAATCACACAGACTTTCACACACACACACTACCTCTTCAAACTGGATTGCCGTCTCCTTAAAGGTAGGGACAGGGCCTCACCCCCAAAGCCAGAACTTTGCACAAAACAGACAGTTGGTAAAAGTTTGACAAGTTAAATGCAGAAATCCACCTGCACACACAGGAGGAGCACACACCTACAAACACGCAGCCAGGTGCACAGGCGCACACGCATATCTGCTCGCCCCCTGCCCTGGGAATCTCCCAACCTGGGTCTTCCTCCACCCTTCACCTCCACCCTGCCCCATTTGGCCTTCCTGTCTGAGGCAACCTCCTCCCCAGCCCACAGCCCAACTTCCTCCCCAGGAGGTAACCACTGCACCCACTCCCACTGAGGCCTGCAGCCCAGGGATGCCCCTGCTGTCAGCCCGGCCCTCTTGCTCCGAGACCCTGGGCTCCTCTGCTCTGGCCACATGGGTTCCCCACGCCCCCGCTCGGGACCTGGCTGGGGTCCTGGCGGTGGAGGCTGAGTGCTGCCAAGCAGCTCAGGTACCATGGTGACTCCGGAAGGAAAATATCTGCCCAGCCCTGAGGGGGCGTGTGGACGTGGCAAGGGGCGCGTGCCTGGGATGTGGGCAGAGCCATGGCCTGAGCCCACTGGGCGGTCTCTCCTCCCCTCCCGCCCCTCCAGTCCCCTCCCACCTGGGGCACCAGGCAGGGCTGAGATGGAACGAGGACGCTCAGCAGGCAAGTCCCGGCTTGTGGCCGCTGCCCATGCTCTGCGCTCCCAGCTGAGTCAGTGAGTCAGCTGAGGGAGCCCTCTCCCCGCTGCTGCCCCATCCTCACCCCAGAGGTGGGTGGGTGTCTCTACCAGGTGTCGTGTGTAGCATTGTGTGAATGCCTGTGTGCCCGATATTGACAGTATTTCCTGAACATCTACTGTGTGCTGGTCCTGGGTGTAGCAGACGCACTGTTTGGGGCTCTTCTGTGGCATAATGGGCAAGCCCATGTGGCTCTCCCTGTGTTACCTCGTGCCACTGTGAGTCTCAGTTCGGCAGGCATGTCTGCATCCTGTGGGATCTATGAACCTGTATACTTTGTGGGTGTGGTTGTTGTATCACTGCGTGTGTGTCTGTGTCATGTCACAGTGTGGTGCTGCATGGGTGACTGTCAGCCATGTGGTACGTTCAATGACTTGCTGTGTGGCAGCACTGTGTGGTGTATGCGCGTGTGTGTATCTCCTACACTGTCTGTTGTGTGACTGGGCTGTGTGTTGTGGTGTATGCTCTGGTGTCTCGGGGGCCACCAGGTGTTTATGTGTGACTATGGAAGTGGAGGTCCGCAGAACTGACCCTGCCCTTGTCCTGTAGGTCAGCTTGGGCTGCGCTTTGGGGATCTGAGCCCAGGGTCCCCAGCAACACCCCTCTCCCTGCAGTACCCTCTCATTCCAGAGGCAGAATCCAGTAAATGGTCCTCCCTACTCTGCTTCAACATGATGGGACAGACCCATTGGTTAGTATAAGGGTCTGTCCATCTATCTGGCTGTTCCAGCCCTGGACACGCACCACCTCCCCCACCCCAAAGTCCTAGAGGGTGCTCAGGATACCAGGTGGCTGTCCCTGCTCCTCAGGACACTGGCAGGGGACCCCCAGCCCTAAGGTGTATTACCTGTAGGGGTCCAGTATGGAAGGGACACCTTCGTAGGGTAACTCCGGCTCTCCTGGCAGCTGAGTTTCAGGGACCAGGAGAAGAGCAGTGAGGGACGAAGGCTGACTCAACCGGCAGCCCAGCAGACCTGCTGCCCCACTGAGGAGGAGGAAACACCTTCTCACAGGGCCTGATGCAAAACCGGGCCTGGACTTCTGGCTCCCCAGAGATGTGGCCCAGCCTGTGCTTTCAGCAAACCCAGAGCAGAACTGGCGGGCGGGAGATGACTGGGGCTTGGCCCCAGCTCCCCTGCAGACTTGCTCTGTGACTCCAGTAACCAGAGCTGGCAGCAGTCCCTCAGAGTTTCGGCTGCCCCATCTGCAGAGTAAGTAGCAGCCCCAACCGGCCCACTGATGAGCTGACAGGAACTTACTTTGAAAGCAAAGTTAGAGAGCTTTTTAAGAACCAGGGTAGTGGAAGGATTGAAGGCTGTCTTCAGATACCCTGAGTAGTTCCTGCTCTACCACTGTGTGACCTTAAGCAGGTCTCTTAACTATTCTGAGCTGCAATTTCCTCCTATGCAAACTGCCGGCTGCAGAGTGCGAAGAGCCTCTAAGGGAAATGAAAGTGCTTGGCACAAGCTGGCATATAGTGGGTACTGGTGTCCCCTTGCCAACATAGTCCATTTTGACAACCACTGCCCCTCCATGTCCACCTATACCTCCCAGGAGGTGCTGGCCACAGCAGAGCTGCTCTCTGTCCCCTCTGCCACTCTGGGCCCCGTCTGTTTGAGGAGGCCTGGACTCTTCCAGGGCCAAAGTGAGGCTCCTACAATCTCCTCTGACAGACAGGGTTCTGCTCCCAGATTCTGTCCCATCCTGAGAAGGTTGGGCCCAGATTACATTTGCTTCAGAATCATGAGCCTGAGGCCCCACCAAAGCTTCCCCAAGCTTGAAACCCCTTAATTCAGCTTCATTCCATCCTGCCTCTCCTGACCAACCTGCTGCCATGGCTTAAAGGTCAGAGGGCATCTCACAGACCTGCAAGAGAGAAGGTGGGCAAGGTGTGGACTCTAAATGAAACCCACTCCTCCTCCCCCTCATTGGAACCGGGTCCTGAATGTTACCAACACTCTGAGCACCTGAGGGTCCCTCCTCCACCCCTAGCCCAAGGTCCAGGCTTCCCCACTTATTTTTTGCAAGCCAGTCTTATTTTCTGAGCCTTTTTCCTCATTTATTAGATGGGGGTAATAATCTCTCCTCAGATCCTTCCCTGCAGTTCAAAGAGACACTTGCCGGTCCTTAATAAATACATATATGCATTTGTATATGTAATATTCATTAAGTGTCCACCAGGGGAACATGGGAGTGGTTATTGTGATGCCCACTTCCTCCAGCAGGTCTCCCAGAATGGGAGGAGAGTGGCCAACAGCATCCTCACCCCTCCCCATCATTCTTTCCTGGCTCCTCCCAAGGATGCTTCTCTAACCATCCCCCACCACCCGCCCCCACCTCTCGGCTAGCACCCCTGGAAGGCATCAAACTTCACTGTTTATTCTTCTGGCTTCTAAATTCCCATCCTTTTTCTCATCGCCTATCCTTTTATCTGCGACTCTTCTGGAATCCGATGTTTCCACCCTCTCCTGCTGTCTTCTGTACTGGAACTCCGCTTAATCCTCCCCAACTGAAACTTTCTATTTTCAAGTTTCCACTTCTGTGAACAGCCCCCATGTCCTGGCACCACGCTCCTGATGTTTACTGCCAATCACCGGACTGCCCTCTCTTCCCTCTGAGAGCTTCCCCATCTGTCCCCCATCTCTTCTGCCCTCCCACTGCCCGGGTTTCAGTCCCTGCCCAGGATCTTCTGCAAGCCTCCTCCTCCCTGTCTCCTGCTCTCCACACTCAGCAACCCCCCTACCCAGCCCTTTACCGCACAGCTGTCAGAGAGCCCTTTCAACACCCTACTTTTAGCTGTCATTCCTCAGCTTTGGAAGGTGCCAGGGGGAACCCTCTGAGCCTTTAACAAATCTGTTCCAAACCAGCCCAACTTAGACACTCACTGACAGGCGTCTCCTCACCTCCCAAGACAGTCCATCCTCCTTTGGGCTGCCTAACCCACAGAACCCCTATATGGCTTGGACTGATCCTTGTCTCCTCCATCCTTACAGCTCTACCTACAGGCTCCGCTTCCTGTCCCTTCAACACCCTAGTCCATCTGTGCTCCCTGCTTCTGGCTGCAGAATGCCTTCCCCACCTGCTGCCACCCCTCCAGGGGTTCAATGCCTCTGCACTGGCCAGTCTCCAGGGTAAGCCCCCATGGTTGAGGCCCCAGATCTGGGTTAAAATTCTGGTTCTGTCACACAGTCCCCTGTGGCCTTGGGTCAATGACAATCTCTGTAAGCCTCACTCACTCTGTCCCTTTGTAAAACAGGGACAGTGGCAGCCATCTCATAGGACTGTCATAAGGAGAGTTTCCTTTTTCTTGCCTCCAGCATCAGTTCTCACTTTCTGTCAGTCACAGCCCTGTGTGCTCCAGTGGGGCCATCTCACAGGGCAGTTTCCAGTGGGGGCTCTGCTGGGTTTGATCCTGGTTCCGCTCTTCCTACCTCTGTGACCTTGAGCAGATCACATCACTTCTCTGTGCTTTCTTTTTCTCATCTTAAAGTGGGGATGAGAGCACCTGGCTCATGCGCTGTGGTGAGGATAAATGAGACACTTGATCAGCACACAGTAAGCGCTCAGTAACAGCTGGTGATTTGTAAGTTACCTGTTTGTGTCCCGTTTCCCCAAGGCTGACTTAAAGGTCTGCTGAGGGGAAGCAGGCAGGCCTTATTTCTATCCATTTTGCTGTTTGTCTTCCTCACTGGAACTTACCCACCCCTACCAACTCCCAGGTAGACTCCAATACACAAATCAGATTTTTGAAAATGGAATTGTTCGGAAGAGGGGAGGGGACACCTCTGTCTTGCCCTGCAGAAACCCCAACGTGGAAACCACAGCACTGCAGGGTCTGCGATGAGCTGACAGACACCTGATCAGGGCCCTGAGGGCTGCAGCTAGAACTGTCCTCAGGCCATCCTCAGGGTGAACACACAGGGCTCTCAGGACCCAGAGACCAAATCCTTTGCTAGTTCAACTAAAGTGATACCTGGCATAACCTGGCAAGTTTAGGAAAGACTTCAGCAAGGAAGTGGCTTTTAAGTTGGCCTGGAGAAGGGCATGATTTTGATTTCAAGAGGTAGAGAGCAGGTGCTGCTCTGGCTGGCTGGAGAGCGGGATGCACTGAGAGTGAGAGACTGTAGGTCCAGAAGGCCATGGAGAAGCAGAGGCACCACGGAGGACATCAGTGACCTGATCACTGGGGGTCACACGAGGAACTTGGCTACATGATCAATGGATGTGGTGGGGGCTGGGGCTGGAGCAACTCCCATGGCTTATGCTGAACTGTGTAGCCCTGGTTGAGGGGCCAGGTCCACGGCTCTGGTCTGTCCAGCCCTAAACTCCCAATCCTACTACCAAGTTCCTCCCAACAGGGAATATGGGAGGGGTTTTAGTACTCACCTGCCTCGAGGAGAAAACTCTGGTATGGTGGAGGAGGCGTGGGGAGGCACTCCCAGAGCTCAGGCTCAGAGTAGGATATCCCAAAGGGATGCTGACTTCCTGTAAGCT